GCAGCACCTCCCTGCAGGCAGGGCGAGGGCAGGGGGAGGTCTGGGAGGTCTCCCCAAGGGAGGGGGATTTGGGGTCAGCCCCCGGCGAGGTCCCAGCCCTGAGGGAAGGTTTGGGGTGCCTGGGGCCGTTTCCCTTGTCCCAGAGCACACGAGGGGCCCCAGGCTTGGCCAGCTCGGGTCGTGGGGGCTGATTGTCTCTCTCCTTCTCTCGTCTGCACTTGGGGTTTGAGCCCCAGAGCTGCATAAAGCAAAAAAAAAACCCAAAAAACCAGAAACCAAACCAAACAAAAAACCCCAAAGACAAAGCAGGGGTGAGGAGCCAGGCCCAGGGTGAGGGGTGGGATCCGGGGTGTGCCTTGCACCCCACCCTGGCCGGGGGTCCCCCCGAGCAAGCCCGTGCCTCCCCCCCTGCTGCTGCTGCTGCTGCTGCTGCGGCTCCCGGGGGAGGGAAGGAAGAGAAGGAGGCGAAGGAAGAAACCAAAGGGGGTAAACAACGACTTCCCCGCGGCTGTGAGTGGGAAAAGAGAGAGCTGTGATCCATGCAGAGAAATCTTCATCAACCGAAAACTCGTGGACCAAAAAAAAAAAAAAAAAAAAAAAAGCACAGTTTGTCCCCTCCCCTCCCACCCGACCACCCCTCCCCGAATAATTATTACATTACTTCAAGAAAGAGTATATTTTTTTCATGCATAAATCAAATTCTCATCTTGTCTTTTTTTTTTTTGGTCTTTTTTTTTTTTTTGTCTTCTTTAAATTACATTTGAACACAGAACACATATAATAAATACTCTTGTACGACATGACTCAGAGAAAAGTAACACATCTGAATGCAAAGGTATCGTCATCATTATTAGTTTTTCTTTTTTTTTTCTTTTTTTTTTTTAAAAGGACTTGTTTAAATATGAAATCTGTAAACTCCAAGGGTCCTTTTTTTTTTTTTAATCTTTCTCTCTCTCTCTTTCTCTCTCTCTCTTTCTCTCTCTTTTTTTTTTTTTAAATCTTGAAACTATCCAGCTTTCATTTCCTTAACATTCAATATGTCTCCCATTGAACGCGTCAAAGAAATAAGAACATGCCGTCTTCTGCAAAATTATAATTTAACAGTATAAAGCTTCAAGTCACAAATTCCAAAAACTAGCTAAGTAATTTTTTTTTTTTTTATCACATAAACTATACATTAAATATTTTGAGGTATTTCAGAGAACATTGTCAAAGGCTTGTAAGGTCTGTGCTGGGTGGAAAAGAAGGCTTTCTCCTGCATAGAGAACATCTTTGGTATCACAAGCCGTGTGGGAATGGGGCAGAAGGGGGGTGGCGTGGCCAGGGGGTCGGGCAAGACCTGGTCAAGGCAATAGTGTTGGAGGGGGGCCAAGGGGGGGGAACAGGGAGGGACGGGGTCAGGGTGGCTCTGACCTGTCCTCTCAGGTTGGGACAGAGGAGAATAGAGAGAGGGTCCCCAGGTGGGTTTAGCTCCACCAGGGGGGGGTTAGAACCCCCTAAAATGATTGAATCAACACCAATCTCTGGGGCTGGAAGGGACCCACCGAGGGTACCCACTGCAGCTCCTGGCCCTGCTGTTGTGCCAACCCCAAGAGTCACACCAGGGCTGGCCCTGGGCGAGTTTGGTCCAACCCCAGAGGAGCCGCCTTGGCCGGAGCCTGGACGGGGGGTGCTGCTCAGCCCCAGGGTTCCCTGAATTCTGGAGGCTGATCTGGAAGAGCATCTCTCTCAGTGGGTCCTCCTGCTGCCTTTGGCCAACGCCAAGAGTCAGAGTGGAGCAGACCTGGCTGCGCTGACCTTCCCCAGCGAGCCAAAACCACCCTCTGAGGGCACGGAGAAGGCTCCTGCCGAAAGGTCCCACAGCTCCAGAGCATTCCCTACAGGAAGGGTTTGGAGAAAGCCCAGGGTGAGGCTTCCCCACCGCTCCTGCCTTTGTCTCTCCGAACAGAAAGGCCACAAACCCTTCCCTGTGCTGCCAAAAGGGGAAAGCAAAGCCCAGGTCTGAGCTGAGCAGGGAACAAACACCCCCCGAGGACACTCGTGTTGTCCCCTCGTGGAGCTGGGCTGGAGAAAGACATGGAGCAAAGCCTTTTCCAGGGAACAGTGTCCCCAGACAGCGGGGCAGTGCTCCTGGGGCAAGGGGGGCTCGATGGGGGTCCCAGGCTGGGGGACACGGGGACATCTGAGAGGGGGGACACGCCGGGGGACCAGCACCTTTCCCGCAGCGGGCGGCGAGGGGGATGTTCTTCCTCTTCCATCAGGACACGGGGTGGGGTCCTTTCCTTCATCCCAACACCCAAAGACTACAAGAGCTGTTGGAATCCCGTCCCTTCGGAGAGCTGAGGTAACAGTGAGTCTTTAGGGTCGAAGCAGAGGAGCAAAGAAATGGCCACACACCTTTGGTACAAGAAAAAGGCACTCATCTACCACGCTGCCATCCCGGAGCCGCTCGCTCGCCTCCTCCCTCGCTCTCTGGGGACTCTCAGGGGCTGGGGGGGGTTGGGGGTGGCAGGGGGCTCTCGGCCGGGGTTTTGGGGAGCAGGGAAAGTGGCGTTTCCAGCACAGACCAGACAAGGCAACAAAATCTTTGGTATCAGACGTGATTTTCAAATCACAAAAATTGAAAACTCAAGTGAGGTAGCCTTTAGTCTCGGGTTCTCACTAGAAATGTCTTTGCATCCTTGAGGGCCTGTGGCATTTACTCTTTTTTTTTTCTTTTCCTTTTTTTTTTTTTTCCTTTTTCTTTCTTTTCCTTTTTTTCCCATTATTTTTTTTTTCTCCCGTGTGTGTTTTTTTGTTTTTGGTTTTTGGTTTTGTTTTTTTTTTTCACTTCCCAAACCAAGGCCCCCTTCCTGGCTTTTCAGCCCTTGAATACTACTCGATGGGGTTCAGGAATCCACCGCCATCGTCACCACGTCACGACAAGACAAGAAGAAACAACATCAGGGGAAAAAACTCAGCGGTGGGGGGAGCGGGATCCCGGGGAAGGGGGGGTGGGATTGGCTTTGCCGTCAGTTTTTTTGGGATGTGGGTGGCAAAACACGCTGCGGCACCGGCCCCTTCCCGCCTCTCCCTCTCTCCACCCCTCTCTCCCGCCCTCTCTCTCCAGCAATCCATCGGTTCAGTTTGGTGTGACCGTGTCCATCGGACACCCCCGGCCCCTCCACCGCCCACCTACCCCAGGAGCTCTTTGGTTACCGACGTCCTCCGACCCCGCCGGGCAGGGCTTCGTGTGCAGGGTTTGTTTGGGGTTTTTTTTCTTTCTCTCTTCATCCTTTTGTCCTTTCTTTCCTCTTTTTTTTTTTTTTTTTTTTTTTTTTGGTGGGGGTGCTTTTTGTTTTCGGTTTTGTTTTTTTTCGTTTGGGTTTTTTTTTTTTGTTGCCGTCGTCGTCGTTTTTTTGGTTTTTCGTTTGGGTTTTGTGGTGGGTTTTTTTGGTGAACACGTACCCTTTCGTTTTCTTTTTCTCTTTTTTTTTTTTTTTCCTTCTTTTCAACAAGGTGCCTTCCTGTGACACAACTGATCACTCGCAAAGTAAAGTGAATCGAAGAAACCGGAGCGCTAGAACACAGATGGGACTGTTTTACCCGCATAAATTCAAGAGTGTCCCTTTTTTTTTTCTTTTTTTTTTCTTTTTTTTTTTTTTTTTTGGTTGACGGTTGGTTTTGGAGGATTTGGTTTTTGGTTTGGTTTTTTTTTTTTCCCCAACTGGTGGGGGAAGGAGGGGACCTTGCCTCCCCGTCCATCCCCAAGCCTCTCCCAGCCCTTCCCTGTCCCGGGCAGCGGCACCTCCTGCTCCTCCCAAGGACCCCCAGGCTGGCAAGGAGCCCACGGGGGGTGGGACAAGGGCTGATTGCGAGGGTTTGGCCTCGTGATTGCTTTTTTATATGGCACAAGTCACCATCGAGAGCTCGGAGGAAACGATCCCTTTGAAGCTTAAGTACCTTTTGCTCCAGAAATTCGCGTTTTAAGGCAGGTTGTTAATTGGCACAAAAAAAAAAAAAAAAATCTGCTGTCTTTTTGGTGAGTTGCCGATCTTGGAGTCGAGCTTGTTTGGTTGTGGTTTCTGTTGTTATTCCTTTTTTGTTTTTGGAGGGTTGTTTTTTTTCCCTTTCGATCTCATCGGGGGAGTTTTTTCCCCCCCTTCTCACACCCAGGGCTGGATTTTGCCACCAGATCCCTCGGCTTTTTCTTTTCCCACCGAACGCCGACGTTGGTTCCCGGGAGGGAAATTTGGTTTCGTTGGCTTCGTTGCTGTTGTTGGGTTTTTGGTTTTGCGATTTCTTTGGTAACAGAGATGAAGAAGGGGGGGACGGGAAGGGGCCACAGTGTGTGTGGAGGGGCGGATGGGGCGAGACACAAAGGCAGCAGATCCGCTTTGTCCGTGTCCGATCCTCACCCCAAAAGCGAAACCAGAAATCCAGCGGCGAAAGGTGGAGCCAATCACCAGGGAGAGATCAGATCCTTCGCTCCAAGTCTCTCCTCCCGTCTCCTTCCGGACAATTATTAATTCCAAATACCCGATTTCTGTAGCTAAAATGTGCTTCTCTGACCTGCTTGGGCGCCAGGCGACGCGGGGCAGCCTGGGGGGCACGTTCGGTCCGTGGGAGGCACTCCTTGGACCAGGGAGGTTCTCCGGGAGGGACTCTGGGATGGGGGGCTCTCAGGGGGTCGGGGGGGTGTGCGTGGGGGGCCGGGGGTGGGTGCTCTTGGGGCGACCCGGGGAGGGATCAGGGAGAAGGTGCCGGTGAGGAGGTGGGATGGCCTTCAAACAACTCCCAGGGAGGGAAGTGCCACGTGTTGGTGGTAGGGAGGGTCTGACTGCCTTGGGGAACCTCAGGGGGGTAAAAAGCTTCAGCAGCCAGAGAGCTGGCAGGAGCCTGGTCACGCTCCAGGCACGGCAGGAGCGTTGTCCTGCTCATCCTCATCCCAACCAAGGACCTGGTTCAGTGGGGCTGTGCCACAGCCCAGCCCCTGAGGCCACTTCTTGTATGTCCCCCAGCTCTACCCCTCCACTGTGGGAGCCACCAGGGTGGCTGTGACCGAGGTCAAGGTCGGTTGGGGGATCAGGGTGCGCCTCTCTCTCCAAAAACCCTCGTGGGCAGGTGAAGAGAAGGTTCTGTGATCCCCAAGGACCAGGGATGCTTCCAAACAGCACCTCCCTCTCTCTCTCCCTCTCTCTCTCCCTCTCTCTCTCTCTCCACCCCACGTCATCCCTCGCTCCACACGGGTTTCCTCTGAGCCCTCCCAGGGACGGAGCTGACCTGGTGGCAAACCCTGTCCCTGCCCGAGGAGCCGGGAGGACGAGGCAGCAGGACGTGGCACGAGGCCCCACGCCCGTGGACGACGCCCACCCGAGGGTCAGGGAGGCCGATGGACCCCCAGCACCCAAAAGCACCCACCCCGGCCGGCTCGGGACACGTGTGTGAGTCTGGGGTTGGCTTTGTCATGGGGGGGGTGTCCAGGAAGGGGCGGGGAGGGCCGGGGGGACATCATGCTTTGGAGAAAGTGCTTGTAGAAGACGAGGGGACTCCGGGGTTGGCGCCTGGCTCCTCCTGCCAGCGGTTCATGCACCGCCGGCGGGCGTTCATGAAGAAGTTGCTGACGGTGTTGAGCTCCAGGCCCAGCTGCTGGGAGATGGTCATCTGCATCTCCTTGGACGGGCGCTTGTTCTCCTTGAAGATGGCGATCAGGGTGCGGCGCTGGAGGTCCGTGAAGACCAGCCGCTGCTTCTTGGGCTGCAGGCTCCTGTCCTTCTGCTGCTCCTGCTCCTTGCGTTTGCAAGCTGGGGGGGGGTTCAAAAGAGAGAACAGGGCCGTTAATCGGCGCCCACCGCCCCGGCCCGCTTGCAGGGACCTCCCGAAAACCAGGGAACTTGCTGGCTCCTTGCCCACCACGCCCCAGGCCACCTCCCTCCTCTTCCTCCCCTGCGCCTTCTGAGCCTTCTGAGCGTCATTTGGTGACACATCATTTGGTGACAAAAGCCTGGGGGAAGCCCATCAGGTGCCCAGGAAAAGCTTAAAGTCTCAGCATGTTCAGCTGACCCTGAGATTAGAGACTGAGGAAGCTCCTGGACTGCTCTGGCTGCTGGGACCTGCTCCATCCCTAAGTTTTGGGGTTGCCCAGGGGCCTCCATCCCTTGCTGCACCCTGGAATGGTCTCCCTTGCCTCCTCGTCACCTCTGAGGATCTCACTGGGGACTCAGGGAATGGGTGTCCCTTGGCCATCACATCCCAGCTCTGGAATGCAGGAGGGACACAGGGATGTCATGGAAAGGTCTGTCTGCAGCCTCCGTGTCCCATCAGCCTGGAAGGACTAATTGCAGTTTCGTGGTTCCACCTGCTCTGGGAAGGGGTTTTCCTGACTCTGGAGGCTGGAGAACAGCCTGAACCATTGAAGCTCCAGGGAATTCCATCTTCTCTGCGTGCCTTTGCCACAGATCCTTTGGCACATGTGTCAGCACTGAATTCAAACCCTACAGGTTTGGCTTAAGGTCAGCACAGAGGGGCTGTCACACAGGGATGGACTGTGAGAGGCAGGAAAGCCCCCCTGGCCCCACCAGGCTGCATGAAGGGAGGGAGGGAGGCAAGTACTGACAAATACATGAATTTTGATTGTGGGAATATCAAGCACACTGTTGGTGGAAGAGGTGAGAAAAGGTATTTTCCTAGAAAATTCCAGAATGGTGGAGGTGGCTGATCCAGTCCCTGCTCGAAGCAGGGCCAGCCTTGAAGCTACCAGGGTTCAATCAGGGTGCTCAGGGACTGTGCAGGACTCAACCAGACCTGTGTGGGCACTGCAGGAGGGTGAGATGCCACGGGCAAGGCAGGGCATGGATCTGGCCCTGCGAGGCTGGGGACAAAACATTTCCTCCTGGAAAACTCAGAAAAGACTGAGCAAACCACGGGCTAAAGACTTTCCAAAGGCAGTCCCACTCTTGCCCAGGGCAGCAGCAGTTTTTCAGCCTTTGGGGTTTCTTGGTTCAGACCTTCCAAAGGATTTTACAAGGAGGGCACAGGTCCTGAGATATTTGCTGTCTGGGTGCTGTCTGAGGCTGCTTCTCTCAGGCACTTCCAGGAGCCTCTTTGACCTGGTGCCCAGGCCTTGGAGGGGCCAGAGGCCAGGGCTGAAAGCTCATGGTAGCATCTCATGTCCCAGGGGCAGGGATTCCCCTGGGGCCAACGACCTTCCTGCTCCCAAACACACCCCTACAGCCAGCTGAGGGGAAGGGGAGGTAGGTTGTGGTCCAGGAGGAACAGGAGGGCGCTGAAGTCATTTCTTCCTCACTGGAAAACAAGCAAGGGCTTCTCTGATTTGCCTTCAGCTGCCTCCACTACAAGTGTTCTTCACACCCCCTGAACTAACAGGGAAGGATGATATCCACCCTTTCCACCCACAGCCGGGGAGAACTAGAGCTCAGGGAAGCAGGGAATTCATCCAACACTTTCCCCAGCTGCTGGGCTTGGCCCCTGCCCTGTCCCCACGTGGAGTCACTGGTCCCACTGCTGCTGGGACAGGGGACAGGAGGCACCAAGCTGGGCACAACCAACCCCACTCAGTCCAAATCAGCTGTCCCTGCTTAGTGGAGAACCTTCCCCTCCCCTTCTCCCCCCCTAGACAGGTTTGGCTGCAAACCACCATCCTTAGGGACAAAGGGACAGTCTGAGCCCTGGTGGTGCCGGGGGGGACCCTGTCCCAGGGGTACCTTACTCAAACAGCCAGCAGAGAATGTGGAAACCTACCCTATGACCATCAGATGCTTGCAAAAAGAACAAACAAAAAAAAGCCTTTAT